CTTAACCCTCCCCCTACCTCCCCTGGGAGGCCCAGCGCAGTGCCTGCTTCGGGGTCCCCAGAGCAAACGTGCAACAACTCCGATGAATTCCAGCCAACCGCATTTTCCAAAGGCCCACCCAGAGCCGGAGCCGGGGAGGGTGGGGGGTGGGGGTGGGGGTGTTGCGGGGACTTATCTGCGGCCTCGCATCCCCCGTCATCCGGGCTCAGAGCACAGGGTCCTCCCTCTGCCTGTCCCCCGCCCCAGCTGTCTGCCAACTCCTTGCCTTCTCTCTCCACAGAAATCAACGGGACCCAGATTTGCCCCAGCAACCTGGTCGCCTTCCACGACTTCTCCTCGGACCTGGAGAACGTGCCACACCTGCGCTACCTGCGCCTGGACGGGAACTACCTGAAGCCGCCCATCCCGCTGGACCTCATGATGTGCTTCCGCCTCCTGCAGTCGGTGGTCATCTAGGCCGCGCCCTGCTGCCCGGTCTCCTCTGAGCGCACCTGCAGGCTGGCGGCCCAGGCGCCTGTGCCCCCCCGCGTGCCCGCGCGCCCCCCCTCTCGCCCCCCCTTCGCCTCCCAGCCCACCTTTCTGAGGCACAGGCAAGCTCCGGCCCCCCTGCTGCCTCGGAGCAGGGCTTCCTGTTTCAGCCCCGCCCAGTTCAAAGACACCCACCGCGCACCCAAACTTGTGGCCCCCCGGGGTCTCCCTCTGCTCCAGAAACACGAGAGAGGCCCCTTCGCCCTCCTCTGCCTGTCACTCCCGGGTCGGGCTGGGCCAGGGCCTCGGTCCCGCACGCCAGGAGCAGCAGGCTGAAAGTCCCCGGTCTCCTCGACCACGAACCCGAGCCCCGCTGCCCAGCGCGGGGCGTCACCCTGGAGGGAAGTGGGAGGTGAGGCCGAGGGTCAGGACTCCAGCCCGGCCTGAGTCCAGTCCGAACCCCGCCTCCCCCTGTGGGGACCAAGGGCACCCGCCCTCCCGGCTGGCCTCGGAGAGGAGCGGTAAGGAGCAGATGACTCAAGGAGCCAGGAATTCGCTAGCGGCCGAGCAGCGGCAGAGGCCCTTGGAGGGCCCACGGGGGTGTAGTGTACATGGGTCCTGCAGCTCCCCAGGCCAACACAGACCGGAGGCCCAAGGCCCTGGGGAACGCAGTGTTCACAGCGGAGGGTCAAGAGGTAGCAGCCTGCCCCCGCCGGCTGCTGTCCACTAGCGCCCTGGCCCAGCTGCTTCCACCCCGGAAGGAACAGGGAGGAAGGGGCAGGGCACCTGGCCATCTCCCAGAAGCCCCTTCCAGGGCCTCCGCCTCCGAGGCCGGCTCCGCAGCGACACCTGGTGGCGAGGGGCCTTCACGGCGGGCCCCTGTCCACCACCTCACCTTGACCGTGGCCTTGAGCTCCAATCAGGAAGGGGTGGGTGAGGCCCAGGGCGCCCCTCTCCTCGTAGGCCCAGAAGCCGGGCTCAGCCCCCTAGTGAGCGAGTGCAGACGGGGAGCCTTGGGGGCCCACGTGAGGCCACCGTTTGTTGACTTCACTGGGTCCCTCTGGCCCTCGGCTCCCCCGTGGACGGGACAGGACAGGTTCGAGTCCGCACACCACACCTGAAATGACACCCGGCCGAAGGGCACGCCCTGTTACCACATTCCCTGCAGTAACTTATTCCCCCAGCTGACTCCCTGTCCACCTGGCTCGGCCCAGGCGAGCGGCTTGGCAGGTCCCCAAGTGGAACCCATCCCTACCGGGCTGCTGCCAGATCACCTTCCCCCTAACTTCTTATATAAGGATGCTGCCCTCCACCTCCACGGCCCCCTGAGTGCCTGTGCTGGGGGGAGGGGATGGAGGATGAATATTCTAGAAACGAGTAAGACGCTGTGCCCACCCTCAAATTAGGATCAGAAAACTTCCAGAGGATTTTAAGAAATTGGGCTGAGCTGGGTGCCTCACTTGAAGAAACCCCCATTATCCTCTCTCACCTTCCTCTTTGGCTCGCTACAGAAAACAGGGCTCATGCCATCGCGGGCACGCGCACCTGCCTCCCACCCTCCCTCCCTGCTGTAGCTGGTTTTCCAAGGCTCCTGCTGAAAGTCATTGTATCACTGTGGCCGTAAGCAACCTGGTGCTATGGCCTGGATAAGCCCCTCTGCAACTGTTCACATTTCAGCCCCCGGTTATGGGGCCCTCCGCCCTCCCCATGGGAGCAGAGCTTCTGTGGCTCCCGGGCAGGGAGCTCACTCCCTTGGTCCTGCAAACACGGAATGGCCTGGGGTTGGCACCAGCCTCCCAGCGCCTGGTCCCCCCACTGCCCTCTGGAGCCGTAGAGCAGCTGTGTGGGACACCTGCCCACACACACCCCGCCACCTGCTGGTTCCCCTTGGAGTACAGGAAGCCGGTTCATTCCCCAGTGCTGTGGGCATTGGCATACGCAGGCACGTGGGGCGGTGTGTACGCGTTCTCTGCATGTGTATTGTATCTCTCCTGAAGACCATGCTAACTCGGCGAGACAGCCTTTGCCTTCCAACACGCTTCCCAGCAGAGGAAATAAAGTCATACAGAAACTCCCTGTTGGACTTGGCAACGTGAACAGGCTAAGACACATTGGAGTCATCTTGTCACCCTCCCCCTGCTCCCGGAGAACGTGGGTGGAGAAAAAATCCTATTCTTAAGAAACTCCTGAGCCGTTGCCACGGCTCACTAGGCTAATCCTCCACCTGTGGCGCCAGCACACCGGGTTCTAGTCCCGGTCGGGGCGCTGGATTCTGTCCCAGTTGCCCCTCTTCCAGGCCAGCTCTCTGCTGTGGCCAGGGAGTGCAGTGGAGGGTGGCCCAAGTGCTTGGGCCCTGCACCCCATGGGAGACCAGGAGAAGCACCTAGCTCCTGCCATCGGATCAGCGCGGTGCGCCGGCTGCAGCGGCCATTGGAGGGTGAACCAACGGCAAAGGAAGACCTTTCTCTCTCTGTCTCTCTCACTGTCCACTCTGCCTGTCAAAAAAAAAAAAGAAGAAGAAGAAGAAAAAAGAAAGAAACTCCTGGGAAAACTACCCCACAGCCTTCCCTTGGGCCAATTTCCTCCAAAGTCACAATCCTCACACACACACAAATTATACCTAAAGTAAGGAAAATCTGATGGCTACATCTGAAGCCCAAAGCCCTACGTGCTTTCAACACAGAGACACTAAGTTGGTGGGAGTCTTCCCAGGTGCTCAGCACTGAGGCTGACAGGGAAGGGTCACAGGAGGCCCGCACCCTGGGGGGACGCGTGGGCACACCACAGGCAGCTGTCCGCTGGCCACGGGGATGGTCACAGACGGGCAAGGCCAGGCCGGCTGTAGTCTGTCCTCAGAGGGACCCTGCTTCTGGAAGTGGGGTGCGTGCTCCTCCAGCCCAGCCGTCTGCTCTGGGGTGAAAGCTGCTACCCAGCCTTGCCCTCCCCTCCCACCCGCTGCTCACCTTCACGTCCGCAGGTGTGCAGCTAGGAACTCAGGCATGGGTCCTGCACACCCCACGCCCTTGAAGAAGTCATGATTCTGCAAAGGGGAAAAGCCCATGGGCTGATGCCACCACGTCCCAGGTGTGCGCCAACAGCATGGGGGGGCTCGACTCTGCCACCTGAGCTGGCTCCCAAGGGGTAAACCGGGTGCTGTCAGCAGAGAGAAGGGGAGGGGGAACACATAACCAGCAGGGGAGAGGTTGGCACCATGGGGGGTGTGTCCCAGACAGAGGGTCGTGTTCCGGTCACGGCTCAGGTGCCAAAAGCTCTCAGCAGGGAATAATACCCCGTCCTCCAAAAAGCAAGAGGGCTCCTGAACTTGCCGCTTCCCCAGGGGCAGCCGCAGGGCCAGCTGGCCAGACTTCTGTCCACACCGCCTGCCATCTCCGGTCCATCAGCACGCCTCGTGCCTCTCCTAATGATGGATTAGCAGGAGCTCGGCTCCCCACCTGCCAAGCTCCCCCCGAGCGGGGCCGTCCCTCGAATGTCCACTGACTCTCCCTTCGCCAAGCTTGCCTGAGCTTCCCTGGCCCCAGGGGTGGGAGCCGGCTGTGTGGGGATGAATGGCGAGGGACCGGCTGTAGGGAGAGACTGAGGGGGCTCAGCCCCCCAGATCTGCCGCGCAAAGAGCCCCTGAAGAAGAGCCCCAGGGCAAAACATCCGGAGGCACAGGTGCCTGCATTGCTCTGGTGCCCGGGGTTCCCGGGCTGGGGGAAGCCCTGTCCACACCAGCTGGTGCCGGAACCACAACCCCCTACTCCCCGCCCCTGTGCCCGGCTGTTAGATCTGCCGCCACCCAGTGCAGCGGGGCAGAGCGCCTTCTGCCTGGGCCATCTGTTCCCTGGGCTCCTCGGTGAGGGTCACACAAACAAAGGAAGAGCCAGGCTAGGGATTTGTTTGGAGTGGGGGATTTTTATCACAGCTGGGTTCAGGATCTGGTCCATTAGAAGGAGCACCTGGCCGAAGGAGGGGTGCTGGCTGGCAGAGTCTGAGGGAGACATCCCAGCCTGCCTGGGGTGCCAGCAAAAAGAGAGGCCCCCCAATAAACATATCACATTGGGACAAGGGCTGCCCCCAGCCCCAGAGCACCCTGCACAGCCCTCCTGGCCTCCTGGCTCCTGTGGGGTGTAGGGAATTTTCTGCATCCTCCTGGTGATGTCATCTGTGACCTGAAGCTGGCTTTTGAGTCCTACTCCGTCCCCCACTCTCCTTCTTTTTGAACCCCCAGGCTGCAGGCCTCCCTGCAGTGATTCTGCTCGGGACAGTCTCCGGCTGGGGCTCAGGGTGGGCGTGGGGGGTTGGCTGGGCGCCTGAGCCAGGCTTGGCATGGACTGCATCTGTGCACAGACGCCTCTTTCGCCCTCCCCACCCTGGAAGGACAAGCCCGCCCCTCCGCACTCAGCACCAGCCCACCCTCCCAGTGCAGACTGCAAGGGGCGGGGCCCTCTGGGGGCAGTGGGCACAGCCTGCCCCTCAAAGATAGGGCTTTGTTAGGGGGGTGAGCCAGAGAGGAGGAGAGGAGGGAGGGAGGGTGGGCGAATTCCCTGCTGCCACGCAAAGGAGCAAGGTGAGGGCCAGCCTGGAACTGAGGAGGACGTACGGCTGGATGCCGGGAGGAGTGGAGCTCTGATCATCTCTCGCTGGAGGCCCCGGTCCTGTCCACCTGCCTTCAGAGGCCCTCCTGTGTGGAAGCTGTGAGGCCACGGTCAGGTACCAAAGGCTACAAGGGGCAAGGTTCAAGGTTGGAGGCCTTAGGCCCATCATCGGGCAAATGAGAAGGAAGAGGATGGGGCTGGGGGAGGGGGAGGGGTTGGGCCTGGAGGAGGCAGAGGGAGAGAAGGGAGTTCTGGCCCCAGAGCGGAGGAGGCTTTCCCCTGGGAATGGTCTGAGGTTGTGTGACTCCGTCTGGAGTGAGGTGCGGGCGGGACAGGGAAGCAGCACCTGTTGCTGTGGTGGGGTGGAGGTGGGGGAATTTGCCCCCTTACCCAGGAGAAAGTCTCCTGGAAACCCATGCAGCTGGCGCGGGGGAGGGCTGCGTGGTGGGGCCCCGGGGGTGGGTGTGACAGTGTGCACCCACACGCCCTTCTCCTCCGGGACCTTGTGCCTGTCACCCACGCGTGATAAGCAAGGCACACACACGGGGACCTGCACCTGTGCTAAGGAGCGTCTCGGGTGTGTACACGCAAAGGACTTTCTTGCACGTGTGAGAATCTTCTATCAGCTACCACGCTTTGTCACGTCTGTCACACTGCAAGTCCCTGTCTCCCAAACCGCCTGGGAAGGGCTGAGCCTGCTTCATCTCTGTAGAGCCGGGGCCCAGCCCAGCACCTGTAACTCGGCAGACGCCCACCCAGGTCTACTGAGCAATGCACGCATGAATGATCTTTTTAAGAATCACGAGGCTCCTTGGTATTGAATCTAAGTCAGGTTTATTGGCTCACGGTCATATCCCAGGTACGCGGTTGTGTAAGAGAGAGAACACTTGCACTCTCGCGAGTGCACCTGAGCCCCAGTTGTGTGCACATGCCATGGAAGCCAATGTCACTGTGTTGGTGGGTACACAGAGCCCAAGTTGGAGGGAGGCAGCAGGGGCTCGTTGTAGATACCCCCAGACCGAGCCCCAGCCTGGTGGAGTGACTGATGGCCTCCAACAGCATGTGTGGGTGGGAGTGGCTGAGTCTGTAAGCCCCTCCCTGTCCGCTCCGCCCTGGTGAGGGACCCCACTGTCCCCCCATTTCCTCTCCCAGGCCCCCATGAGGCTGCCGGCTTTCCTGAGTCTGCTGGCCCTGGTGCTGCAGGAAGGGGACCCTCACACGGCTCTGCCTCTGGATGACTATGGCCTGAGCCCAGACGACTACGGCGAGGTCCTTGACCTGGGCAACTATGAGGAGCCCACAGACTACGGGGAGCAGCCCCTCGAGGTGAGGGCCAGACAGCCACTGTGTGTCCTGCAGGACACTGGGCACTGGGGGGCCTGCCCCTCTCTACCCGCCCCCCAGTGCAGGTGCCTCAAGCCTCTGTCCCTTTCTCTAAAGAGATGACACTAAGGAAGAGGACTCACACCCTCCATTGTGTGGCCGTTTGTGGCAAGCTTGGTGGGGTGCCCCCCTCTTAGGAGTTTCCATCCCTCCCTCTGCCATCACGAGATTCCCTTGGGCTGGGGGCCTGCAGTGTCCTCACATTGTTCCCTGTCTCTTAGCCCGGCCCCCAGTCTCGAGTTCTGTCCCAGCTCTGCTGGCGTTCACGGGGGCTCACCTGGAAAGCCCGGGGTGGGAGACAAGCCCGGAAGCCTCCCCTTGGTGCCGCACGAGTTTGGCACCAGCCTGGGAGCCCCAAGCTTCCTCTGGCTCTGCCTCAGCCCCTGGCAGTCCCATGGGCCTCGCCCCCCCCACTCCCTGAGCCTCAGTCTCCTCCTGCATTGGATGAAGATGAGGAAGATGCTGGACCTGAATGCTGTCTAAGGTCCCTCCCCCCTCCCTCTCCATGGTGACCCTTTGCAAGTTTGGAATGGGTTGCTGACATTCCCAGAGGCCGAAATGAAGTGTCTCCCAGGCTGACCTGCTGTGTGCTACATCTCCAGGTTAAGGCGACCAGCCCGGCTCCTCCTCCAACCAGGGGCAGCCCCATCCAGAGTGCTAAGGCTCTGAGGACACCCTCATCAAGCCCCACCGTGCCAGGCCCACCAACCAATCACAGTGAGTGCAGGGTCACGTGGCCATGAGGTTCATAGGTCGCAGGCCAAGGAGCCATGACCCAGGGCCGTGGGCTGCCCACGAGGAGCGTCAGGGCTGGCCCTCGCCCACAGGGAGAGGAGGGGAGACAGCCACCCTGAGAACAGCAGAAATCCAAGGGAGGGGCCGGCCGTCCCTGGGACTTGCACCTGAGTGTGCAGATCGGTGGGAAGCAGAGCAGTGCGAGGACTCCCCTCTGCGCTGGCACAGCCACCCTCCCTTAATTAACAGCGTCTCTCGGGGAGCAGGTGGAGTGGTAATTAGATTAGAGACAATTAAAGGCCTGCAGAGCAGAATAAGTAACCTTGTGACCGTCACTTGGCACGGGGCAGAGGAGTTAGTCACTGCGTTCCGGCTTCAGACTCTGTGTGGCAGCTCCCGTCCCTTCCAGGGTCCTCTGAGACAGGGAGGCTGGTGTCCCTGGCTTGGGAAGGGGTCGGGGGTGGGGGCTCAGCACGGCGCTGAGGATCAGATGGGGGCGGAGGAGGGAGGAAGCTCATCCCGGAGCCGCTTGCCCCTCGGCTTCCCTGTTCTCCTCTTGGGATGTTTGCCTTGGGTGGGCTGGGGGCACGGGGACATCAGCAGAGAAGTGGTTCTGTTGGAAATCCATCACCTTTCAGTCCACACACAGTCAGGCTTCAAGGGCCCACACAGGCCCACAGAGGGACCTGCCAGCCAGGCCTGGGCGTGGGAGGGTGCTGGGCCCCCACTGCTCCACCTGTCCCCGCTGGGCCACGGCTGGGACAGAAGAGCTGCCCTGCATCTTGGGGCTGTGTCAATGCCAGCAGGGTCCTTCCTGGACATTGATCTTGACCTCCCAGGCCCCTCTGTGCCCTGTGACAGCGGGTGACAGAGAACACCTGCCCTGCTCAGTTGCATGAGCCACCACCGTCTTCCCAGCCTTTGAAAGCCAGCCCGAGCTGGGTGGCCTTGTCCTCATGACAGCTGGGCACAGAGGTGGGGCCATGGACCGAGGACGGGGAAGGGCCATTTCCCGGAGGACAACTGGGAAGCCGCAGCCACGAGAAGCAGAGGCGAACGCGTGACAGGCATCGCCCACTCGTCCTTGGCTCCATCTGTGACGCTTCTTGGAGCCACACAGGACAGACCACACCCTGTCCCCCAGGGCAGTTGGCCGGGCTGCTCTGCTTCATTTCCGCTTCAGGGTACTTTAGGGGTCTGAGAGGAGCCCTGTGGAAAATGACCAACAGAGGTGCTAGAAACACCCACACAGACCCAGGGCAACCCCTCCCGGACAGGGCTGTGCTGGAAGCAGGAAGGGGCTTGTGCTGGGCCATGACAGACGTGGGCCCACTGCTCTGAGGTCACGCTGCGTGGCACCCTGGCAGTGGCCTGTCCAGGCAGGTCGTGCTGGGTGGTTCTTATGCTGTCAAGAGAGCATATGGCCAGGCTCGTGATCTGAAAGGAGTCTGACCCGGGAATCTTCCCTCGCTCCGTCTTCCGCCGGGGGCAGGCCTGCCCACCTGCCTGGTGTGTGTGTGCCTGGGGTCCTCCGTGTACTGTGACGACGCCGACCTGGAAAGCATCCCTCCTCTGCCGAAGACAACCACCTACCTGTATGCCCGCTTCAACCGCATCCGCCGCGTGCGGGCCGGGGACTTCCAAGGACTGGGTATGCTAAGGCCCTGGGGCGGGGAGAGGGCCCAGCACAGCAAACACCAGGGGCCTTTGTCTTGCCACCCAGCCCCAGGACGGAGCCTCCCCGTCCCGGCTCTCAGCATCTCTGGCTGCAGAGGAAACAGCCCCGAGCCTCTGATTCCTTTCAGCCCGGTGGACCTGCCCCCAGGGTGCAGGGAAGGGAAGGTTTGATCAAGGCGGTGTCCTCAGGCTCTCCCAGCGGCTCCAGACCGGCCACCAGCTGGCCCCCAGGACAGGCCATTCCACATGTGCTCACCATGGCGCTGGCGCTGTTGGCGTGGCGTTTCCTTTGTTTGTTTTGCTGCTTTATAGCTGTGCCCTGCTTGAGACAGGCGACCTGGGCTCCCATCCAGATTTCACCACTAATTACCCAGAGCCTTCCGGGCCTCGGTGCCCTTCTGCATAAACCAACGTGTGCAGGTGGAATGGCTGGGGGGCCTCCCAGCCTTGCCAGTTCTCTTCCACACCCTCCCAGGGGGTGGAGAGGGTGGCAGCCGCCCACAGGACAGGGCCCCAGGGGAAGGTGTCACAGGGAGCCCGGATGTATGTCTTGGTGTCTCCTGGTGTGGCCTGGTGCAGGTGGGAAGGGGGAGAAGTCCCCTCCTTGAGAAGGAAGGGGCAGGCTACGGAGAGAGACTCGAGGCGGCGTGTCCTGGCATCTCTCTCTCTCTCTCTCTCTCTCTCTCTCTCTCTCTCTGCTGTCTCCCCACGACCCTTCAGCAAAACTGAAGAGGATTGACCTCTCCAGCAACGTCATCTCCTACATCGAGAGCGACGCCCTCCGCGCGCTGCCCGCCCTGCAGGACCTGCTCCTCCCGGAGAACCAGCTGGCAGCCCTGCCCGCGCTGCCCAGCAGCGTCCAGTTGCTGGACGCCCGCCTGAATCGGCTCCAGAGCTCCGGGATCCAGCCGGGGGCCTTCAGGGTGAGTCAGCAACTCCAGGTCACCACCTGCCACCACTCACGCGCCGGGCCCTCTTGGGGCATCCCTGCGCCACCCCTACTCTGGCTGTTGTTTTCATTTTTTCCATTTGCTAGCTTTAAAAAACATTTATTTATTTGAAAGAGTTAGAGACAGGGGGAGACAGAGAGAGAGAAAGATCTTTCATCTGCTGGTTTACTCCCCAAGATGGCCACAACGGCCAGTGCTGGGCCAGGCCAGAGCCAGGAGCCAAGAGACAGGAGCTTCTTCCAGGTCTCCTGCGTGGATGGCAGGGATTCAAACACTTGGGCCATCTTCTACTATGCCACACGCCAGCCCCTTGCAGGCTTTTTTTTTTTTTTAAGATTTATTTGAAAGGCAGAATGACAGAGAGAGAGATATTCTATCTGCTGGTTCCTTCCCTAAATGGCTACAATGGTCAGGGGTGGGCCAGGACGAAGGCAGAGCCAGGAACTCCATCTGGGTCTCTCCATAGGTAGCAGGGACCCAAGCACGCAGGCCATCCTCTGATGCTTTCCTAGGCACATTAGCAGGGAGCTGGATTGGAAGCAGAGCCACTGTGGCTCAAGCCAGCACTCATATGGGATGCTGGCAGGGCAAGTGACAACTTAACCTGCTGTGCCATAAGGGCAGCCCCACTTTGCTGTTTACTAAAGGTTCTCTTGGTTGCAAAGACAGATTCTGACCCGAGAAAAGGGTGCTTGGCAGCTTGCTCTTCCCAAGAAGCCCCGTGACTGGGAAACAGGGCACCAGCGGGCCTCATGGGCCTGTTTCAAGGATGGAGACTCAGAGACCAGGGTCGGCAGCGCTCCCTCTCCTCCGCGGGGTGCACGGTGTCGGGTCCTTGCTTCCTTCCATGCGTCTGCTCTGTGCAACTCCTGTGTCTTCAGCACACTCGTGGTCCGCCCCCGAGACCTACAGCTTCCACGTGGCTGTAGCGTACAGCCATGTTGACGCCAGCCCGCACCACCTCCTTTATTGCCAGCACTCACCAGCAAGTGACTAATCATCGTCTTTACGATTCACCATCTGATGAGTCATTGGCTGATGGGCTTGGATGGGAAGGGCTAAGTACTGAGACACAAATTCAGGCCCCTGGGGCTGCCCGTTGGACAGGGCTAGCAGAAGCCCGGGACGCACGCCCAGGGAAGGAACGTGGCCGGGATGGACATCTGCAGGCGTGCAGCTGGCCAACTGCTCACTTGCCGCCTGCTCTCCTCCACCTGAGTCACCTCCAAGCTCATCCTGTGTGTCTCTCCCGAAGTGCAGTGGAGAGCCGCGTGCCGACGCCTTGGCCAGTGACTGGCCGCGTGTCCAGCAGCGGTCTGATAAGATCACACCACCCCGGAGGTTCTAGCCGTCTCAGTGTGGGTAGGTACACTCCATGATGTTCACACCGGGGTGGAATCATCTAATTGCATATTTCTCAGAACATATCCCCGTTGTTAAGCAACGCATGACTGTAGTAGAATCTGTTTTGCAAACGAATGCATATTTAGAAGCATCAAATCAATCAAATCCAAGCTGCCTTTCTGGAACAGGGTGAGGGCGCAGAGACCTGCCTGCTCGCTCCCTCCTGCTCTCCCCACCCTCTCAGTCTTCGGCTGTCTGCAGCGATCCTGGAGGGGTTTCACGTGGCGCCCTGTCAACAGCACTGTGTGAGGGTCAGAAATCCAGGGCTGGCATTGTGGTGCAGCGGCTTAACCCGCTGCGACACCTGCATCCCGTGTCAGCGCTGGTTCCTGTCCCGGCCACCTCACTGCCAATCCAGCTCCCTGCTAATGCACCTGGGAAAGCAGCAGAGGATGGCCAAGTGCGTGTGCCCCTGACACCTGGATGGAATTCCATGCTCCTGGCTGCTGCCCAGCCTAGAAGAAAAGAAGAGGTAGAAGTCCTACACATGACCCTGGGCCTGAGTTTCCCATCTGTAGTGGGGAACAGGCATTGCGCGCTGCCTGCTCCGGCCTCGGAGTCCTCCTGGCTGTCTGCAGTAGCAGGAGGCTCTTCTTCGCCGTGATGCAGCACTGCTTGCTCAGCCCAGGTTAAAGCAGGCGTTCAGGGCAAGCCCCTCCAGCTCTCTGACCTTGTTTTCTTACCTACAAAGTGAGGATGGGGATTCCTAGCGGGCCCAGCTGCTGGGGCGGCGGGGGAGGGTTGGATAAGTATTTATACAGTGCACAGGGAGGTCACTGGTTCTGGATGATCCTCATTGTTCTCTGAGCTCCCCGAAGGCTGATCGCTCCCCCAAGCCTGCTCCAATTAGCCGGCCTCGTCCTGCGGGTGCTGGCACACTCACACACTCCACTCACTTTTGTGTCCTCGGCGTGCTCGTCCACCTGCTCCAGGTTCAGCAGCTGGAGGCTTTTCCTTGGGGAAAGCCCATCTGAGAGCAGAGATGTGGAGGCTAAGCTGCGGCGTGCCCTGGTCCTCCCTGTGCGCCGTCGCTGCCCGTCCCCGTCATCACGCAGCTGGCAGCTCCTTGCATTGCCCACATCCGACTGGACTCGGTGTCTGGAAGCTCCTTGGAGAACCAGCCATCTGGGACAAGCATTTGCCCAAGCAGTTGAGACTCCCGCGTCCTGTGTCCCATCTCAGAGCAGCTGGGCTTGGTGTCTCACAGCAGCTCCTGCCTCCAGCCTCCTGCTCCTGCAGACCACAGAGGCAGCGGTGATGGCTCAAGTGGCTGGGCTCCTGCCACCCATAGGGAGACCAGGGTTGAGTTCCTGGCTCCTGGCTTCAGCCTGGCCCAGCCTGGGCTGTTGCAGGCATTTGGGGAGTGAACCAATGGATGGGAGTGAGCTCCCTTGCTCTCTCGCTCGCTCGCTCTCTCTCAAAACAATTTAAACTAAAAAGATGCAGCAAAGCTTGAGGGCATGCATGGGGTCACTGGACTCTGCCTGCCCAGGAACCAGCACCAGGGCCCCGGGGGACCCCTCCCCCTCCACCGCTCTCTGCCTCCTCCACAGGCGCTGGAGAAGCTGCAGTTCCTCTACCTAGCAGACAACCTGCTGGATTCCGTGCCCGGGCCTCTGCCCCTGAGCCTGCGCTCTCTGCACCTGCAGGTGAGGAGCCGGCTCTGGGCTGTGAGAGCTGGGGCTTGGGCGGGTTTGGCGGCTGCTTTGGAGACTGGGGCTGGTGGGTCTTGCATGCGGGGGGGCGGGGCTTGCGGGGACAGCCAATGAGGGCGGAGCCTCCGGGCGGGGCTCGCTGTGCTCTTTCCAGAACAACGCCATAGGGACCCTGCGGGGAGACGAGTTCTGCGACGCGGAGGAGCACAGGCACACGCGGCGGCCGCTCGAGGACGTCCGCCTGGACGGCAACCCCGTCAACCTCAGCCTCTTCCCCGACGCCTACTTCTGCCTGCCGCGGCTGCCCACCGGCCGCATGGTCTAGCCCCGAGCCTTTGTAACCCGCCCGGGTAAGAGCGCTGGCGGATCCCCTGACCCCCATCTGCCCCCACCGAGGGCTCGGTGGAAGTCCAGGCCCCTGCGTCCGCACAGGGTCTTCGGGCTAGGCATTCGTCAACCTCTCCATCCTGTTGCAAAAATCCCTCCACCCCGCCACTGCCACACACGTGCACACATTTGCCTGTCTCCTTCAAACCCCCCGGCTCCCCAAGTTCCCAAATACTCTCGCTGTTCCCCAGGGAATGCCAGGAAAGAGGAAGAGGAGCAGGAGGAAGAGGAGCAAGGGAGCCCAGGCTAGGGGAGGGGCAGGGAGGAGAAACACGGGCGTGCTGGAGCCAGGCACACAGGAACCAGGAGTAAACTTTCTAGAAATTTCCAAGTCAGTTGTCAAACACGGCCATTATGAAAAATTGAGTTATATAACCTGGCAATTAAGATGTCATATTGAGAGCAAATGTAATAAAGACACAGCCAGCACTCACCACCTGCCAGCGGTGTGTCTAGGTCCTGCTGTGCCCGGTGCTCTAGAGGGTACCACGCCCCTGGGTGGTGTCTCTGTCCCGAGAGTCCCTGCCCAGCTCCCGCCTTGGGTGACATCACATCGATGGTTCGGCACTGGCCGAGGTGGGAGAATTTACACCATGGGAATGGGTGAACGCTGCCACTTGCTTAAGATGTGAAAGCTGGTGGTTAAATGGTTTCCAGCACAGCCCTGGAGAGAAAGAGGAGCTCCTAAAACTGGCCCTGGCGCCCCGCGGGGGCCTTCTGTAACCTCTGCTCTTCCGGGACAAGGCTGCCTGTGAGATTCCGGCTACAGATCATCCCGGAGACGACCCCCTGCAGTGCTGACTGATCCCCCTGGCTCCCTGACTCGCTGGCCATCGGGGTTCCAACCTTCCTACACGCTCCTGCCTGTTCAACCACCAGAGGGCAGCCTTGTGCAAAGAGAAATAAATAAATATAGCAATTACTCACCTGCGGCCTCTTGGGATCCTGGGCTGGGCCGGTGGAGCTGGAAGCATAGGAAGCATGACTGATACCCAGCCGACTTGCTCCTTGAATTATCAGACAGGGGAGGGGCCCACTTCCCCTGTTTTCTTTTTCTAAAAATTTATTTATTTACTTGGAAAGCAGAGTTATATATATATAAAGAGATCTTCCATCCACTGGTTCATGCTTCAAATGGCTGCAACAACCAGGGCCAAAGCCAGGAGCCTGGAGCTTTTTCTGGGTCTCCCACATGGGTGCAGGGGCCCAGGGACATGGGCCGTCCTCTGCTGTTTGCCAGGTGCATCAGCAGGGAGCTGGGTCGGAAGTGGAGCAGCCAGGACTCAAACCGGCGCCCATATGGGATGCCAGCACTGCAGGCAGCATCTTAACCCACTGTGCCACAGTGCCAGCCCCTTCCCCTGCTGCTTCTGGGGAGACCCAGGCGAGGGGCAGGTCACGGCTGGGTGCTTGGTGTCGGGTGTTGATTGAAGGCAGTAAGGAGGCAGGAGTTCCCTGTCTCCTGCAGCCAGGGCTCGGGGCGCCTGCCTGCCCTGTGCCAGACATGGTGTCACGTGCCGAGGGGCCGCGGTGCAGTAGAGATTCCTTCCTCTTCCTCGTGGCTGGAGTCTGGTGCAGGAGCAGCTGTCAGTCACACGAGTCTCCACAGGGTCCAGCTCGTGGCGAGAGCTGGAGAGGGGTGCACAGCACGGCGGGTGCTGAGGCTGACATTCACCCGGAACCCGGAGATGGAGTAGGAGTGCGCCGAGCAAGGAGTTGCCAAGGCAACCAGTTGAGGTCTCAAACGGTGCCCGAGTCGAGAGGGACAGGTGTTTTTGTGGCCCGCGTGCAGGGGAGCCCACTCAGGTACTTTGCCTGGAACCTCCCCCTGCGCATTAGATCCTCGTGATAGTCTTCCAAGCAGGGAAGTCAGAACTTCGCCTTTGATTAAGGGTTGATTCGGAAGGCAGAGTGACGGGAGGGAGGGAGGGAGGGAGGGAGACAGACAGACCCTGCTCGCTCCCCAAATGGCCACAACAGCCATGGCTGGACCAGGCCGAAGCCCGGAGCCAGGAACTCCATCCGGGTCTCATGTGCATGGCAAGGGCCCAAGTATCGGGGCCATCAGCGAAGGCCTTCCCAGGCGCATCAGTAGGGGGCGCCACAAGCAGCCGCTTCGCCCACTGTGCCCCAGCATCGCCCCTTCTTTTTCAAGACTGACTTGTGCAAAAGGCAGAGGGAGAGAGGAGTTTGCTCCCATTCTTCAGATGAGGAAGTTGAGAACCAGGGAAGAGAAATCGCCCACCTGCTCGTGTAGCCGTCGAAGGCTCGGACCAGCGCTGCACACACAGGCTACAGATGAAGCGGGGAGTCTTGACAGCAGCGAGGGCGCCCAGGGCCATTGCTAGGGTGCCTGCCCTTTCACCTGGGGACCCAAGGCCCTGGGGACGGCAAGGGTGGCAGCAGCTGCTCGGCTCTCAGAACAGCGGTGCAGCCCTTGCTGGCTCCCGAGGAGTCTGTTAGAGCAGGAAGCAGGATCCTCTCCCTCTCTCCTCTCTCTCTCCTCTTTCTCATCCACCCGTCTCTCCTGCTTGCAGCCCTCACCCCCTCCCACGTCCTGCTTCGCTGGGTTATGACCACGAAAGCTGAAGGCCGCAAGGGCTCCAGCTCAGGAGGCCCTTGGTGGCCGGACTCCCATGGGAAGCACCTCCAGGCAGCGCGTAGAGCGGAGGCTGCTGCAGGCCGGATGCCCGGGGTGCCCTGCGCCCGGTGCAGAAAGTCTCTGGCCTCAGCTCCGTTGTGGGGCAGGGGGACCAGCAATTCCGGGACTCCTGGAGTTTGCGACACTGAGACAGCGCTTTCACCGCCGTCAGCCCATTTCAGCCCGACAGGAACCCCGGACGGGGAGATGCCCACTGCAGGCCAAGTGCTGATGAGGGCAGAGCCAGGAGTCAAACCCAGGTCTGGGCCCTTTCTTCCCGCCACTATGCTCCTGGGAGGGCTCCCCCCAAGGGCCGCTGCCTCTGCCAGTCTCCTGACGAACTCCCCAGTTTGGGCTTGGGAAGCCCAAGGAGTACACAGGCTTCCCTGAAGAATTTGTAAACAGTGCATCTGTCCCCGGCCCCAGGGAGGGAGCCTCAGCCACGACAGGGCGACAGGGCTGGGGCTCCCATCTCTCAGGGTGTCGGGGAGGTGGGGAGCAGTGACAACGGCAGGGGGCCGTGGAGAGGAGGAGGTGGGGGGCAGGGCTGGATGCCAGAGCGCCAGGCCTGAGACGGGAAGGGAGGGGTGCAGGGAGGGGGCCGGGGGGCCGCAGCTCTGCAGCCAGCCAAGTGCCAGCCCCGGCCTGGCGGAACACCTGCGTCCTCCCAGAGCCAGCCGAGTGCCAGCCTCGGTCATCCGGGCCTTTGGAGGCCCTTGCTCCACACTCTGGGGTCTCCCGGTGGCCTTGCTGGCAGCCCCGTAGGCAGCAGAGCGCCTCCCGCGGCAGGCACCCCAGGGCCTTCAGATGGGTCCTGGCCAGGAAGGCTGCCCTGGCCTGCTCTCAGGGGCCCAGTGTCCTCTTCCCTGTGGCAGAGGAAGGCAGAGGCTGCCCCTCCCCCGCCAGAAGGGACCCGGAGAGGCCCAGGGCCAGAGGGGGCTGGGGGGGGGTTGGTGTTTCCTCGCTGGGGCTTCCTTCCTGCCTCCTGCCAGTCCCCTCCTGGGACAGCAGCCTCTCTCCCTGTTGTGCTGTGGATCTGCACTTAAAGCTCCAAGCCTGCCTGTGCGTCTGAAGCCGGGGGCGGGGGGGGGGCCAAGGCTGGGACCCAGCAGCGTTGACCCACCTCGCCCCCCCAAGGAGTTCCTGCGAGGCAGGTGGGGAATCCCCAGCACCCCCTACACCCAAAGGGCCTTGCCGAACAGGCAGCGGGGAGGGCGTTTCCCAGGCTGGAAGGAGGGAGCCTCCCCTGGAGGAGCCCCGAGTCGGGGCCTGTGTCCTCAGCAGGGAAACTGGGCTCAAGGACACGCGTCCCTGTCCCCCCCCAACACGGGCTCTGTCTGAGGGAGGCAGACAGAGGTGGCACAGCCACCCGCCCCCTCCCCCACACCAGACACCGGCTCAGTCCTGCCTCTCCTCTCTGTCAAGGTCATCTCTCGGCCTGGCCGGCAGACTCCCCATCCCCATCTCCCAGCCTCCCTCCTGTGTCAGCTGGACACGGGTCTCGGTGGGGAGGGGGTGCCTGCTCCTTCCCCCACAGCCCCGGGCATCCCCCTCCCCACACCCCGGCCCGCAGCCAAAGAAGCCCAGACACACACAGCACAGACACCTGCTCCTCTTCCTCCCTCTGCTCCCCTCCCCCAACCGTGTCTCCTTCTCCGCATGCCCCAGGCCCAGGGCAAACAGCTTTAAGCCTCTTCCTGACATCAGGTGCACGCCCAAGACACAGACGAGAGAGAGGAGAGGGTGGACATGTTTCCAGCTGTAGCCCTTGCAGAGGACCTGGGGTTCGAGGGACTGAGCCTGGGAATGAGAGGCTGGAGACATGGGCGTGGCCCCCGTCCCTGGCTCTGCACAATCCTGAAAGACACCAGCCCAGGCCGGGCGTGCTCTGCATGCTGGAGAGGGGACGCATTACCCGGATGTGGGGGGGGTGTGCCCTGCACAGGAAGGAGACAACATGGTCTTGGGGGACTGGAGTCTCCCCCAGCAGCCGGGTACTGGGGGTGAAGTCACCCTGCCAGTGTCCATGCTGCGTCTTTGAAGGAGCCAGGTCCTTGGTGAGGCCAGCAGAGGTTAGGGCAGGTGGGGAAGCTACCAGAAGCACGCGGGAGCCCCGAGGCCGCCTTTCCCCAGTGCAGGCCGGAGCTCCTCCCTGGTCTGAGCCACAGAGCTATGCCAGCTCCCTCAGTGAGATGCTGAGCCAGGCCATGAGCTGACTTGATCCCTGGGGGAGCTCCACGGAGAGGGGAAGGCCCCAGTGTGCAGCACGCGGGGCTGTGAAGCTCCTTGTCCAAGGTCATGGAGCAAGGAAGAGGCAGAATGCAATGCCAGTGGGGCTGCTGCCTGCAAAGCCCTCCTGGGTTGGACTGGGGCTGTGGTACCTGCTGACCCACAACCGGCCTCTCACCGCCTGCGGGAACCTTGCTCAGTGCACACCCCATACGCACAGTGCCAGGGCAGCGCGGGAGGTAGCCCCGCTCCAGACATCTCACCGCAAGCGGCCCCTTCTCCACCCTGCCGCTCCGAGTGTCCCCCAGGGGTGGCCCTGCACACCTGCACTTCTCCTTCCCACACTACCCCTCCCTTCCTGTCTATTGTCTCCAGCCCAGTTTCTTGGCTCCTGGGCTTCTGTTCCCCGATTTCTTTCCGCTTCTCTAACCTGGAGGACAATGGGCTCCTTCCTGCTTGTTGGTAAACAGAGGCACCGCCAGCCTGCGAGGGACTCGGTAGCTCCCCACGGACCTCTCTCTCCACGAACTCCGGCCCTCCCTGCTTCTCTCCTGCTCCCTCCCACCATGTGTGCACACTGCAGCTAGAGAGGCCAGCAGGTGCAGTGCCAGCCTCTCTGTCTCCATCGTCCCGAAGAGCCAGGAAGTGCCCACACCCCCTCCTGACTGGAGAAAGCGTGGGCAGGGTGCACTGTGCGAGAGCCAGGGCTGGGCCAGGTGAAGCCAGGGACCAGGAGCTCCATCCGGGTCTTCCATGTGGGTGGCAGGGACCCTGCTATGTGGGCCCTCACCTGCTGCCTCCCAGGGTGTGCACTAGCAGGGAGCTGGGGTCAGGAGTGCAGCCTGCATTCCATCCCAGGCACTCCATTGTGGCACGTGGGCATCCTAAGGGATGTCAGGGAAAACAGAGGGCGAGAGTAACCCATAGTATCATCCAGAAAGGACCGATCTGGAAGGAATGTGGCACAGGCTGGGGCAGAAGCTGGTGGCCTTGGCTGCAGAGGCCAAGGAAGGCCTCTGGGGTGGGGCCGGCTGGGCTGAGCCCTCGGAGCAGAAG